CTGTGTGTGGGGCGGGTGGGGGGTCTTGGGGCAGGGGGCTGGGATCTGGGGGGCTGGGAGCTGGGGGGCTCGGGGCGGGTGGGGGGGTCTGTGTGGGGGGGGTGGGGGGTCTTGGGGCAGGGGGCTGGGATCTGGGGGTGGGGGCTGGTGGGGGGTCTGTGTGGGGCGGGTTGGGGTTCTTGGGGAGGGCTGGGATCTGGGGGGTCGGGCGGGTGGGGGGTCTGTGTGTGGGGGGTTGGGGGTTTGGGGAGGGGCTGGATCTGGGGGCTCGGGGCGGTGGGGGTCTTGGGGAGGGGGCTGGATCTGGGGGCAGGGGCTGGGATCTGGGGCGGGGGCTGGTGGGGGGTCTGTGTGGGGCGGTTGGGGGTTTTGGGGAGGGGCTGGGATCTGGGGGCTCGGGGCGGTGGGGGTCTTGGGGCAGGGGGCTGGGGGCTGGATCTGGGGGTTGTGTGGGGCTGGTGGGGGGTCTGTGTGTGGGGCGGGTTGGGTTCTTGGGGAGGGCTGGGATCTGGGGGGGGGGGCTGGGGGGTCTGGGGTGGGGGGTGGGTTTTGGGGAGGGGCTGGGATCTGGGGTCGGGCGGTGGGGGTCTTGGGGCAGGGGCTGGCTGGGGCGGGGGCTGGTGGGGGGGTTGTGTGTGGGGCGGGTTGGGGGTTTTGGGGAGGGGCTGGGATCTGGGGGCTCGGCGGGTGGGGGTCTTGGGGCGGGGCTGGACTGGGGGCTCGGGCGGGTGGGGGGTCGTGTGTGGGGCGGGTGGGGGGTCTTGGGGCAGGTGGCTGGGATCTGGGGGGCTGGGAGCTGGGGGCTCGGGCGGGTGGGGGTCTTGGGGCAGGGGCTGGGATCTGGGGGCTGGGAGCTGGGGGCTCGGGCGGGTGGGGGGTCTGTGTGTGGGGCGGGTGGGGGGTCTTGGGGCAGGGGCTGGGATCTGGGGGCTGGCTGGGGGCCGGCGGGTGGGGGTCTTGGGGCAGGGGCTGGGATCTGGGGGGCTGGGAGCTGGGGGGCTCGGGGCGGGTGGGGGTCTGTGTGTGGGGCGGGTGGGGGGTCTTGGGGCAGGGGGCTGGGATCTGGGGGCTGGGAGCTGGGGGCTCGGGGCGGGTGGGGGTCTTGGGGCAGGGGGCTGGGATCTGGGGGGCTGGGAGCTGGGGGGCTCGGGGCGGGTGGGGGGTCTGTGTGTGGGGCGGGTGGGGGGTCTTGGGGCAGGGGGCTGGGATCTGGGGGGCTGGGAGCTGCGGGGCTCGGGGCGGGTGGGGGGTCTGTGTGTGGGGCGGGTGGGGGTCTTGGGGCAGGGGGCTGGGATCTGGGGGGCTGGGAGCTGGGGGGCTCGGGGCGGGTGGGGGGTCTGTGTGTGGGGCGGGTGGGGGGTCTTGGGGCAGGGGCTGGGATCTGGGGGGCTGGGAGCTGGGGGGCTCGGGGCGGGTGGGGGGTCTGTGTGGGGGCGGGTGGGGGTCTTGGGGGCTGGAGCTGGGGGGCTCGGGGCGGGTGGGGGTCTTGGGGCAGGGGGCTGGGATCTGGGGGGCTGGGAGCGGGTGGGGGGTCTGTGTGTGGGGCGGGTTGGGGGTTTGGGGAGGGGCTGGGATCTGGGGGGCTCGGGGCGGGTGGGGGTCTTGGGGCAGGGGCTGGGATCTGGGGGCTCGGGCGGGTGGGGGGTCTTGGGGAGGGGGCTGGGATCTGGGGGCTGGGAGCTGGGGGCTCGGGGCGGGTGGGGGTCTTGGGGAGGGGGCTGGGATCTGGGGGCTGGGCTGCGGGGCTCGGGGCGGGTGGGGGTCTTGGGGCAGGGGTCTGGGGTCTGGGGGCTGGGAGCTGGGGGCTCGGGCGGGTGGGGGTCTTGGGGCAGGGGGCTGGGATCTGGGGGGCTGGGAGCTGGGGGGCTCGGGGCGGGTGGGGGGTCTTGGGGCAGGGGCTGGGATCTGGGGGGCTGGGAGCTGGGGGCTCGGGGCGGGTGGGGGTCTGTGTGTGGGGCGGGTGGGGGTCTTGGGGGCTGGGATCTGGGGGGCTCGGGGCGGGTGGGGGTCTGTGTGGGGGCGGGTGGGGGTCTTGGGGCAGGGGCTGGGATCTGGGGGCTAGGAGCTGGGGGCTCGGGGCGGGTGGGGGTCTTGGGGCAGGGGGCTGGATCTGGGGGCTGGGAGCTGGGGGCTCGGGCGGGTGGGGGGTCTGTGTGTGGGGCGGGTGGGGGTCTTGGGGCAGGGGGCTGGGATCTGGGGGGCTGGGAGCTGGGGGGCTCGGGGCGGGTGGGGGGTCTTGGGGCAGGGGGCTGGGATCTGGGGGGCTGGGAGCTGGGGGGCTCGGGGCGGGTGGGGGGTCTTGGGGCAGGGGGCTGGGAGCTGGGGGGCTGGGAGCTGGGGGGCTCGGGGCGGGTGGGGGTCTGTGTGTGGGGCGGGTGGGGGGTCTTGGGGCAGGGGGCTGGGATCTGGGGGGCTGGGAGCTGGGGGGCTCGGGGCGGGTGGGGGGTCTGTGTGTGGGGCGGGTGGGGGGTCTTGGGGCAGGGGGCTGGGATCTGGGGGGCTGGGAGCTGGGGGGTCTGTGTGTGGGGCGGGTGGGGGGTCTTGGGGCAGGGGGCTGGGATCTGGGGGGCTGGGAGCTGGGGGCTCGGGGCGGGTGGGGGTTTGGGGCGGGGCCGGGGGCTGGGGCGGGTGGGGGGTCTGTGTGTGGGGCGGGTTGGGGGTTTTGGGGAGGGGCTGGGATCTGGGGGGCTCGGCGGTGGGGGGTCTTGGGGCAGGGGCTGGAGCTGGGGGCTCGGGGCGGGTGGGGGTCTTGGGGCAGGGGGCTGGGATCTGGGGGGCTGGGAGCTGCGGGGCTCGGGGCGGGTGGGGGTCTTGGGGCAGGGGCTGGGATCTGGGGGGCTCGGGGCGGGTGGGGGGTCTTGGGGCAGGGGGCTGGGATCTGGGGGGCTGGGAGCTGGGGGGCTCGGGGCGGGTGGGGGTCTTGGGGCAGGGGCTGGGATCTGGGGGCTGGGGGGCTCGGGCGGGTGGGGGTCTGTGTGTGGGGCGGGTGGGGGGTCTTGGGGCAGGGGGCTGGGATCTGGGGGGCTGGGAGCTGGGGGGCTCAGGGCGGGTGGGGGTCTTGGGGCAGGGGCTGGGATCTGGGGGCTGGGAGCTGGGGGTCTGTGTGTGGGGCGGGTGGGGGGTCTTGGGGCAGGGGGCTGGGATCTGGGGGGCTGGGAGCTGCGGGGCTCGGGGCGGGTGGGGGGTCTGTGTGTGGGGCGGGTGGGGGGTCTTGGGGCAGGGGGCTGGGATCTGGGGGGCTGGGATCTGGGGGGCTCGGGGCGGGTGGGAGGTCTTGGGGCTGGGATCTGGGGGGCTGGGAGCTCGGGGCTCGGGGCGGGTGGGGGTCTGTGTGTGGGGCGGGTGGGGGTCTTGGGGCAGGGGCTGGGATCTGGGGGGCTGGGAGCTGGGGGGCTCGGGGCGGGTGGGGGGTCTGTGTGTGGGGCAGGTGGGGGGTCTTGGGGCAGGGGGCTAGGATCTGGGGGGCTGGGAGCTGGGGGGCTCGGGGCGGGTGGGGGGTCTGTGTGTGGGGCGGGTTGGGGGTTTTGGGGAGGGGCTGGGATCTGGGGGGCTGGGGGGCTCGGGGCGGGTGGGGGGTCTTGGGGCAGGGGGCAGGGATCTGGGGGGCTGGGAGCTGGGGGGCTCGGGGCGGGTGGGGGGTCTGTGTGTGGGGCGGGTGGGGGGTCTTGGGGCAGGGGCTGGGAGCTGATCTGGGGGCTGGGAGCTGGGGGCTCGGGGCGGGTGGGGGTCTTGGGGTAGGGGCGGATCTGGGGGCTGGGAGCTGGGGGGCTCGGGGCGGGTGGGGGCCCGGGGGCTCCTCGGGCGGTCGGGCACGCGCATTCTCCTGACACGTGGAAAGTTTCAGCGCTCGGGACGCGCATCGCTCCTCCGCTGGCCCCGCCCCCTGCCTCGGGCGCGCGCTGGCCCAGCTCATCCCCGGGCACGCGGAGGAGGAGCCGCCTCCGGTAGGTTGGGGCGGGAGCGAGCTCCGCGCGCGGGAAGCGCGGCCCCGATGCCCGCTCAGGAGCCCGCAGCCGGGGGGGGGAATGACTGGGGGAGTGGAGCCGGGGGGCGCCGGCTGGCTGAGAGGGGGGGTGGCCAGGGAGCTGGGGGGGGTATGGGGCGGGAGGATGCGTGGGATGGCCTGGCTGAGCAGGGGGGTGGCCAGGGAGCTAGGGGGGATGGATGGATGGGGTGGGGGGCATGGCCTGGCTGAGCGGGGGGTTGCCAGGGAGCTGGGGGGGGGATGGATGTGGCGGGAGGATGCATGGGGTGGGAGGCATGGCCTGGATGGGCGGGGGGGGGGGGAGGGGGGATGGATGGCGTGGAGGTCATGGCCTGGCGGGGCAGGGGGGGGGATTGGATGGTGTGGGAGGCTTCATGGTGGCCTGGCGGGGCAGGGGGGATGGATGGCGTGGAGGTCATGGCCTGGCGGGGGCGGGGGGATGGCCAGGGAGCTGGGGGGGGGGGGGATATGGGGGTGGAGGGCATGGCATGGCCTGGCTGAGGGGGGGAATGGCCAGGGAGCGTGGGGGGGGATATGAGGTGGGGGGCATGGCTTGGCTGAGCGGGGGAATGGCTAGGGAGCTGCGGGGGGATATGGGGTGGCGGGCATGGCCTGGCTAAGGGGGGGAATGGCCAGGGAGCGTGGGGGGGGATATGAGGTGGGGGGCATGGCCTGGCTGAGCGGGGGGGATGGCCAGGGAGCTGGGGGGATATGGGTGGGGGGCATGGCCTGGCTGAGCAGGGGGAATAGCCAGGGAGCTGGGGGGGGATATGGGGTGGGGGGCATGGCCTGGCTGAGCGGGGGAATGGCTAGGGAGCTGCGGGGGGGATATGGGGCCGGGGGCATGGCCTGGCTGAGCAGGGGGATGGCCAGGGTGCTGGGGGGAGTGGCTGGGGGGGGACAGAAATCTGAAAGGGCGAGCGTGATGAACAGGGCCTGTGGGGAGTCGAGGGGGATACTGAGGGAATGGTGGGGGCAGGGGGTGTGCAGTGGGGCGGGGAGATTGGGAGGATGTGGGGCAGAGCAGTGCCTGGTTCCGGTCATGCTAATTCTCTGTGTTGTGGCAGCTCCCAGAAGGGGGCGTCGCTGTGCCATGAGCTGCAGCTGCTGGAAATGCCGCCCCGCAGGCCAGGGGGGCGCAGAGCCCAGTGGAGGCCGGGGGTGCCAGGCTGCAGAGCTTGCCGGGGCGGGGGCAGGTGTCAGGAAGGAAGCGAAGGGAAGGAGAATTGCCCGGGAATCCCTGCCAGGTCCCCTGCCTCGCTTTCCCCAGGCCTGCTGGAGTGCGGGCAGGGTAGCAGCTCACGCTGGATCCGCTTCGGATGGTGACGTGCCCTCAGGCTGGCGTCTGTCCTGTGTGGGCGCCGGTTTCCCTCTTGGAGTAACAGGGTCAGTGACTCTGAGCCCCCCTGGCGTGAACAGCCCTGGGCTCGGCACCAGGGGGTGGGCTCTCCCGGGCTGGTGGTGTGGGCGTGGGGGTGGGCAGGTGCTATTCGCTGGTGCCCAGCTGGGAGGCGGCTCCCCGTGGGATGGGGCTCTTGCGTAACCTTAGAAGCATGTTCATTCCCTCCAGGAAGAGGAACAAACTCTCCCTCTTGCCCTGCAGCCTCTGTTGGAGAAGGATCCCATCAGTGATTTCCTCCTGGAGCGCCCCCGGGCCAGGGCCACACCGCAGCCCTCGTGGAAGGAGGTGAGTCTAGCCTAGTACCCTGGACGGGGAGAGCTTCTGATGGTGGGGAATTCCCCAGGCAAGGGCCCTGACTGAGGGCGCAGAGGGGAGATCACCCCCCCAAAACTGGACCCTGCTTTGCACGGCCTGGGTTCCTGTGCAGCCGCCAGGGAGCATCCTGTGACTGCTCCGGCATCCTCTCCGTCCCCAGCTTATGCAGCTTCTCCTTCCTCAGTCGCTCTCTCGCCTCCAGCCCCCGCTCGCTGCTGCCCCCCCGACTTCCTCGGGCCTTGCCAGCTGTAAAGGAAACAAACTTGTCACTAACTCCCAAGAACTTTCTTCCTCCTCCCGCTGTTCCCACGTGCCCGGTCAGCCCGTAACCCCTGACCGCGTCCCCTCCTGCCGTTCTGCGCCCGCCTAGCCCGCTTCCTCCCACTCTCTGGGCCTGGGCTGGGTCTCCTCCAGCTCTCTGCCTGCTCCCCTCCAAGCTGGCTTTGGCTCTCCTTGGCCCCCTCCTCCACGCTGTAAGTCTGCACTCCTTCCTCTTCCTGCCTGCTTGTTTCCATGCCTCGCTGGCTCTCCTGTCGCTGGCGGGGCTGCTCGCTCCCCCAGGCCTGTTGGTGTCGCTCAGGTTTGTCCTCTTGGAGGCCTCATCTGCCCCAGCGTTTCCACTGCCAGCGGTACACTGGGGCCTCTCAAATCTCTCTGGACCGGGCCTCTGCCTTTCTGCTCTGAGGTGTCCAGCCGCCTCTCTCCGGACCCCTCTCCGCTACCTGGCATCTCCATGACAGCTCCTGTCTCCCCTGCCCATAGACTCGTTGTCAGCTTGGTCTCCCTTTCCCTGTGTCTGTGCCCTGACTGTCCCTTGCCTGATCGCTGTCACCTTCTCTCCAGCCACTCCCTGCTACACAGCGCTGTCTCCTGCGGCTCCACTCCGCCGCCTCGAATTGTATCGTCCCCTCGCTGACTGAGCACCGCCCTAGGAGTTAAAAACAGAACTGCAACGATCCCTCTGCCTGCCTTGCCCGTCAGAGAGAGATGGCTTCAGTGGGTACCAGGTTTATTTGCCTTTAACCTGGCTCGAGAGGAAGCCGAGTCTGACGGCTACAGGCGTCTCTTCCCTTGTGTCAGAGAGTTCCTGAGGCTAGGGCCAGTTCCTAGAAAGTTGTCTCCTGCACTTGTGAGTCTTCTCCATTTGGGCGACAGTTGAATTGTTCTGTTAGAACTGAGCTGTGGTGTGAGCTTGGGGTTGGGGAGGGGAGGGGAGGGGAGTCTTGTACCCACAGGATCGGGTCAACACCTCCCATTTCGCAGCAGTCTGATGGAGGAGCCCGTTCAGTGTGCTGGAGCCCCAGGGGTCTCAGCCTCCAGGGCAGGCCTCATTGCCTGCTAACTGAACCTCTGGGGTGCCAGCACCCTGCTGCACCCCAGGAGCTCTGCCCAGCGAGAGCAACCGAGCCAGACTCGTGGCCGAGACTCACCCCCTTTGCAGGGACCACTGCACCTCAGTGTTTACAGTGACACTCAAACCAGTCGGGTTTATTAGTCACCCGGCATATGGCATCGGCCGTCCTTAGGTCAGCACAGAGACCTGAGGGCAAAGGCGAGTCCATGCAGGTCAGCCCTGCGCACCAGCCAAGCTGCCGGGAACCCCATTTTCAGGCTCTCCGTCTTTTCTTAGTCAGTTCCCAGATGAGATAGCGTAAGCCAACACTCACACCTCAGCCCTTTGTTCTTCAGCTGGGATCTCAACTCTGCAAAATCCTTGAGTAGCTGCAACTCCATTGTCTCGCTGACCCCCTTGGTGATCTGGGGTGGTTTCAACCAGTTCCTTAATGACTCTTCATTCCATCCAGCTGGTAATCTCTCCCCCTCCCCCCGCAGCTGTGCAAAGTGTAGGGGAAACCGAGGCGCGCACAGTTTTCACAAAAAAATTCCCACTTTGTCACAAGGGCTCTCGGAGCGAGGGCCAGCCCCATGGAGGCCTTTGCAAATCAGGACAGAGACCTTGAATTCGCTTCTGTTCCGTGGGGAGAAGACGCAGAGTGGAGCACTGTTACCGGAGCCAGCCCTACGCTGCTGAGCAGACAGGCTGCTGCGTTCTGCACCAGTGGGTGCTTTCTGAGGCTGTCCTGCTGCGACTTGAGGTGTGATGCACGTTCGGGTGCGAAGCAGTTCGGTTTGCGGCACACGTGGCATGCCTGACTCGTACCTACAAGTGCAAGGAGATGAATGTGGATCTACCCCTGGCCCAGCCAGAGGCTCCCCCTTTCCACCGGCACAGCTGAACCCTGCCGCCCCAGAAACATCAGCCTGCCTTGCGCCATTCACCTGCCCCTCACACCTGGCGACTCTCTGCCAGGCCCGCTCTAGCACACGCCACAGAGGTGGGTTGGCTGCTGGAATCGGGGGGTGGCCGCTCCCTTACCAGCCGTGGTGAGGTTCTCTGGGCAAATGGGTCTCTTCTGGCCTTCGAATGTGAGTGATGGTCGTTTGGGTCAAGGAACCTCTGGAGCAGGGCCAGAAACAGGGATTTGAAGCCTATTTCAACACGCAGCCCTAACAAGTGGCTTTCAGAGAACCTCTATAATCAGTCTCAGCAATCAAGCCTGGAAGCTGGGAATGCCTGGATCACCCTGAACTGGTGCTCCAGACATGACATTCTCTGTGTCCTTACACCTCCCCTGAGCCGGCCGGTCCCCTGCCTTGGGGCAGGGTCGGCGCCAGTGTCCCCTAGAGGGGAAAAGCCCCGTGTCCCCATTCCCTGCCCCCCGAGCCAGCTGTTCTCCATGCCCTGGGGCCGGATTGGAGCCAGAGTCCCCTTGAGGGTCTCAATCCCGTGTCTAATGCCCGGACCCACCCTGGCTCTGCGAGTCTTCTCCCAGCATGCTTTGGGGAGCGATCGTGCCATACAGTTGTGACCGGAGCCACTTTGTTCCGGTCGGCGTTCCTGTGCTCGGCACTCGCGCCCGAGGGCTGGGGTTGGTATCACCCGGAGAGAAGCAGGGGCTGGGGGAGGCAGTGAAGTGGGGAGGGGTATCCCTGGGGCAAGGGGCACTGCTGTTAACCCCTTACTATCCTTTCTGTATTTCAGTGACTGGTGGAATGGTGCTGGGCAGATCCGTCCCTTCTCTGCACTGCACGTCCTGAACTCCAGCCGAGCTGGAAGTCTTTGTTCAGGTGAGTCTGTCCAGACGCCGCACCCCGGCGGAGGTGGCTCCCTTGCTGGGCACAGGGAGCGCGCGGAAAGCTCCGGACGTTTGGCTTGACATAGGACGATGATGTTGGGTAGACCCTCCCGGGTACTGTAGCTGTTCTCTGCTTCAGAGACCTCCCAAGGCAGGCTGACAGCCATGGACGGGGGGACAGTTCTGGGCTGCAAGGTGTACCTCTGAGCCAGGTATCTCCTCAGCTCTGTCGCTGTCCCACCCCCACCTTCCAGCCTCCTGTCTTCCAGCCTGGGGCTCCTCCGTCCAACTGTAGCGTTTCTCACTCCTGACTCGCAGACCCTGCTCTTGCAGCCCAGGGCTCCCCTCCCCAGCTCTGTCCTGCACCCCCCTGGGCTTCCCGCCCCAGCTCTGTGCCGTGGTCCGCACTGGGTGAGGGCGGCGCCGCGTGGCTCCGTAATGCTGGGAGCGGTTGAGTGATGTTCGGGGCACTTGTCCAGCCCGATTCCTCTCTCTTGTTGCTGTGCCGGACGTGGCTTTCTGCTGCCTGCGGCGCGGGCCCCAGAGCCGGTGTCCTGCCACAGCGTCTGTCTGCAGGGCCCAGGGTGTCACCGCTGGGTGGAAGAAGATGAGTGCGTTCTCCACAGCCCGGCCTGCTGGGCTGAGGCGCTGGCCGTGTGGCGGGGGTATTGGAGGAGCCGACGGGCGGGGGTGATGCCAGCTTTGTGTGGGGTGGCGGGGGGGGCAGCAGTGCGGGGGGCGAAGGGGCGGGGGCTCCCGAAGCGCTGGCAGTGTGTGGGGAGTGGCAGGGGGATGGGGGTAGCAGTGGGGCCAGGGTCCCAGGGCGCTGGCAGTGCGGGGGGCGAAGGGGCGGGGGCTCCCGAAGCGCTGGCAGTGTGTGGGGAGTGGCACGGGGATGGGGGTAGCAGTGGGGCCAGGATCCCAGGGTGCTGGCAGTGCGGGGGGCAAAGGGGCGAGGGCTCCCGAAGCTGCATGGAGGTTGAGTGCTCTAGGCTGCTGGGGACTGGCGTTGGCCGTGTGGGGATGGGGCTGCTCCAGGCTGGGATTTGCTCCTCCCGCAGCTCGGGCTCTCATTAGGATGGCTCCCGTGGCGTCGGGTCACTTCGTGTGGCAGCCAGGAAGGCCTGGCTGGAAGAGGGAAGGGCCTGGCCTTGGTGCTCCTACGGTACAGCCTGTCTGAGCCTCCCTCAGCTGCTGGGGGGGGTGGGGGGTCTGTGCTGAGCACGGTCAGTGCGTCCCTGCCTGTTAGAGCAATTAGCCCCACTGCCCTCAGGGGGCTGGGCGCCCAGCCGCCTTTCAGGCTCTTCGGGGTCACTGGAGTGCTTCAAGCAGGCTGCCAAAGGCAGAGGGATTTCATTGCCCTAATGATCCTCCCTGGCTGGCACCTGTTAGTCTCCTCCCGGCACAGCCCTCTGGGTGACATCTCAGTCCGTTTCCTTCTGTTGCGGCTTCTGCCCGGGCAGGCGCCACGGGGAGGCAGGGTGGCAAACCCCCTGCTCCAGGGCGCAGTGCTTGGATGGCTCCCTTGGCTCCCAGCAGTCAGAGCGGCACCTGTCTCTGCTCTGTCCAGGCTGCAGCCCAATGGGGGTGGGTGCAGACGGACTCCATCCAGCTTAGCGCAGGTCCTTTGGCAGTGGAGCTGCAGCCGGGGGTTTGCCAGGCTTGTCCTTGGGTCTGCGGCTGTCGCTGCTCTTGGTCCCTGAGCCGGGCAGATGGGCGCTGGTCCGGGTGTGCCTGCGTGCGCTGCGGAGCAGACAGTGCTCTTGGGGGCTGGTGGGTCCCACCTGTCAGGGCCCTACCTAGCACTGTCCCCATGCCCAGCTGAGCTGCCTTGTTCTGTAGGGGAGGGGTGCCCAGCTAGGCTGCTCCGCTCTGCCTCCTGCCCTCCCAGCCCTGCTGTGGGGCTGGGTGCGTTAATAACCTTCCGAGTCCTTCCCTGCTGGCCTGGGGACCCCCTAGCCATGAGGGGTGGTGGCAGGAGGCCCCCCAGATGCAGGGAATAGCTAACAGTGCCTTTGCTGCAGCTACCTGAAGGGGTGGGGCGGCCTGGGGGTCTCTCCACAAGGAAACCCCTCCGGCTGGCATGGGCTGCAGGGGGACTCTCCTCCACTCCGGGGGCTTGCAGGGTCTTGCTGGGTTCACCAGGACAGTTTGGGCGGGGAGGATGTGAGTCTTGCGGTGACGATTCACAAGGGAAGGCGAAGGCATGAGTAGGAGCAGGGAGTCCTGGCCTGCTCTGCTGGCTGCCGTAGCGAGGGCGGGGTGGCTGGGGCAGCAGATCGGGCGTGGTGGCTGCAGGAGGGGCTGGAGCCCCAGGGAGCATGGGGGCTGTGGACACAGAGCTCTGCTCCAGGGCTGAGAGGGGACAGCCCCTCTGGGAGACTCTGGAGAAACTCCCTGAGACTCTGTGCTCGGCTCTGGTCCCTGGATCCCAGAGCTCCTGGGAGCCGGCTAGGGGGGCATAGGGGCTCCGTCAGGGGGGCTGACTGAGCATGGGATTGGCCTTGAGAGCTCTGGAGTCCCTGGCATTTGGGCGAGTGACCAGGAGACTTGACAAGAGGGGAGGAGGGGCCCCCAGCGCTGGGCCGGGCAGCCCTTCCCGCCGCGAGGAAAGCCCACCAGCCCACACCGCTACTGCCAGGGCCGGCTCCCCGGGCCCTGGTGCTCAGCAGCGTCAGCGCTAAGAGCTCCTCTGGGGGCGTCCAGCATGGCAAAGTCCCCTGGACGTGGAGCAAACGGCACCAGTTCAGCAGTGCCAGGCTGGAGCTGCGAGCGCCTTGTGCCCAGGAGCACTGGACTGATGGATGCAGAAAATACTGCAGCCTCCCTGCCCCCCCATACCATCCTTGTGCCCCCTTCATTGGGAGGTATTTTGTGAGGTTCCTGAGCGGGTGTTTCAGGCTGGAAGGCTGCAGCACTTTCTCTGCCCCCGAGCTGTTCACGTCTGTATGCAGCTCTCCACACTGGGGTGTCTGAGCCAACGCCATGCCTAGTGTCTGCGGTGGGCGGCTTGTCCTCCATCTCTCCCCCTCCCCAAGGGGACCAACGGTTCTGGGGCCTGTGATCCTGTAGTCTGACCTCAGCCCCAGGGCTGCCCTGCATTGATTCCCGGCTGGACTAGAGTAGGGCTTTTAGAAAAGCAGCCAAGCCTGATTTAATGTTGCCGATGTGACGAAGCGGGACTGTTCTTAATGTTTCCTCTGAACAGTGTGGGGGTGCCTCAGTTTCCCCTATGCAGTTTTTAAGTATCTAGGTGGTGGGGTAAGGGCGTATGATTGTTGCAGAGCCCTAGAGGGCAGGTGTGTGCAGGGGTCTGGCCACAGAGAATGGCCAACACCCTGTTTCCTGGCAGCTGGCGGCCTGGGCCCTTCCCCCTGCAAGGTGAGAGCTAAAGGGTTGGAGAACAAAGGAATCAGGTGACCTGGTCCGGGAAAGGGACAAAGCCCAGAGGAGGAGTGGGGGGGGGCTGGAGGGAGTTTCAGTTTGGGGTTGGCTGGAGACATGGAGTGAAGGGCAGACGTGGTTGTCTGGCTCCCTGCCCCCCAAAATGGAACCCGCTGAGGGGTCCTGTTCTCTGCACCTGCAAGCTCTGTGTTAGACCATGTTCCTGTCATCTGATAAACCTTCTGTTTTACTGGCTGGCTGAAAGTCCCGTCTGACTGCGGAGTTGGGGTGCAGGGCCCTCTGGCTTTCCCAGGACCCCGCCTGGGCGGACTCACTGTGGGAAGCTCACGGAGGGGCAGAGGAGGCTGAATGCTCAGAGGTCAGACCCAGGAAGGTGGAAGCCGTGTGAGCTGTGTGTCCTGAAGACAGGCTGCTCACAGAAAGGAGACTGCCCCAGAGTCCTGCCTGGCTTCGTAGGGAGCAGTTCCAGAGCATCGCCCGGGGACACCGTGACAACTGGTGGCAGAGGTGGGATGTACTGCACCCCGTGGAGGCGCTTCCTGCACTAAGTGACTGGGGAGCAGTAACACGAAGGGGGATTGCCGAGGACCAGGCGTGCTGAAGGCTCAGCGAGGAGCGGTTTCGGGGGGTGGTTAACCCCTGGGAGTGTGTGACCAGTGAGAAGGACTGTGCGGTAATGGGGTCCCCCTGGGGACTGCGGTGAGCAGTCTCAGGGGCAGAGGAGCCTGCGGCGTGGCCCTGGGAGAGAGAAGGACTTTTGCAGTAACAGGGTTCCCCTGGGGATTGTAGCGAGCGGTCCCAGGGGCGGAGGAGTCTGCAGCTCGACCCTGGCAAAGAGGAGGTGACCTCGAGAAGGGCTGGCACACTAGGGGTTCTTCCTGGAAACCGTGGGGAGCTGAGAGCACACAGGCCTGTGAGTCCACAACAACTTGGGAAGAGCGGAGTGATGGCCTGTCACCGTCTCCTGAAGAAGGACATTGTAACCCTGTGCAAAAAGAGAGGGTTGAGCGTTGGAAAGTTCACCAAAGCACAGTTAATCGTGCAGCTGGAGGAGGATGACCGCTCTAAGGAACAGACTCCTGACCCCAAATGGGGCTATAGCAGGACCTGGGAGCAGCTGGAGTGGTAGCCAGGCATCCCCAAGACTCCTGTCCCCAACCAGACGGGGGTCTTCACGATCGGGTTCCTCATCGGGGGATCGGAGATGGATGGGATTGGAGCTGAGTGCGAGAGAGCCAGAGGACTGTGAGAGACAGCGAGAGCCCGAGAAAGAGCTGCAGAAGCAGCAGCAGCATGAACTGGCGGTGGGGGAGCGGAGAGGCCTAGGGGACCTCCCCGGGGTGAGTGGGGATAGATCCCGGGGGGCCAGTTCCGCAGGGAACCTCGAGACTAAATTGCTGCCCCTGGTTAAGGATGGGGGGGATGTGGATGCCACCTCACTGCCTTTGAGCAGGCTGGAGATCTGAACCAGGGGGACCCTGCGGAACAGCCCTGGTGTCTAGATCCCTTGCTGGGTCCCAAGGCCACAGACTCCGTCAGCGAGATATGTGGGGAGGTGGACAGGCTCCCACTCCTGACCCCAACCTA